AGCTCCCACATGGGGGAGCTCTGCTCAGCCACAAGCCAGGCTGATGGCTGCCAGTACAGTGGTGGGGGTGGGAGCCTCTCCTGCCTCCTCAGCAGCACTAAGGATGTCCAACTGCAGCTTAGGCCTGCTCCCCGCTGGCAAGTGGACATCCCCTGAGGCTCCTGGGTTTCTAGAGGGATGTCTGGCTGCCAGCTTAGGCCCAATCCCCCGGGGAGCGGGCCAAATCAGTGGGTGGTCATCCCCTGAAGGGTCCCAGACTGCAAGAGGGCATAGGCCGGGCTGAGGGACCCTTCCGAGTGCACAAATTTTTGTGCACCAGGCCTCTAGTTATTATTTAAAAGTCTACTCCTTCACCCAGTTTCCTAATTTGAGTTGACACTTATCAATTTCTGTAGAATTTTGGCTATAGGACCAGGCCACAGGGAAGGTCTGAATATGTAAGTCATTTGGTTAGAAAAACATGTTTCCGTGAGACTTGGAGGCAGCCATTCATCACTTTGTGCCTGAAGGCTTCCTTAGTGAACTTCTTTCCAGTCTTCAGAGTAAAGCACAGGATCTGGGCTCCAGGAAAGGGTTGCTGCCTGCTGGAACACTGACCAGCAGGGCAACCTTGCAGGCATTCTGCATGCAGTACTGCTGAAGCTCGGCAACTGCCTGAGAGACCTTGATCCTTTCCACACTGGCCTCCAGCTTGAGCTGCTCCAACAAGCGCTGCAGGGCATACATGCTGGCCCTGGAGGACATGGCTGCAGGTGGCTGAGTGGCTTTAAATATTTCTCCCTTATTACTCCCTTCTGGCCTGCAAAGTTTCTGTTGAGAAATGAGTTGATAGTCATATGGGCACTCCCTTGTAGGTAACTAACTGCTTTTCTCTTGCTGCTTTTAAGATTCTCTCTTTGTCTCTAACCCTTGGCATTTTAATTATGATGCCTCTTTGGGTTCCTCTTGTTTGGGACTCTGTGCTTCCTGGACTTGTAAGTCTATTTCTCCACCAGGTCGGGGAAGTTTTCTGTCATTATTTCTTCAAATAGGTTTTCAATATCTTAGTATCTCTTTTCTCCTTTTGGCACCCACATAATGCTAATGTTGGTATGCTTGAAGTTGTCCCAGAGGCTCCTTATACTGTCTTCATATTTTTGGATTCTTTTTTCTTTTTGCTCTTCTGATTGTGTGATTTTTGTTTCCTCATATTCCAAATCATTGATGTGATTCTACTTTACTGTTGAATCCCTATAACTTATTCTTTATTTCAGTGAGTATATACTTAATTTCTGCCTGGTCCTTTTTCATGTCTTTGATGTTCTCACTAATTTCCTTGACATTCTCACAAAGATCCTTGAAATTCTCAGTAAGTCCCTTGAAGCTGTCCTTAAGATTCTTGAGCAATCTTTTAACTGTTGTTTTGAACTCTGTAACCAGTAGTTTGCTTGCTTCTGTTTCTTTCATTTATGATGTATTTCTTTGTCTCTGCATTTTGGCTGCTTCCCTGCGTTTGTTTCTATGTATTAGGTAGAGATGCTATATCTCCTGGAATTGGTAGAGTGATCTTTTGTAACAGTTGTCCTGCAGGGCCCAGTGGCTCAGCTTCCCCAGTCACTTGAGCTGGGAGCTCTATGTGCACCCCTGTGTGGGCTGTGCACATAGTCTTGTTGTAGTTGAGCCTTAATTGCTATTGGTGTCACTGGGAGGACTTGAACTCCAGGCCAATTGGCTGTGAGGACCAGCTGCTACTATAGTGGAAGAGCTACTGTGCAGGAGACACCCCTATGGTGCAGAACTTGCTTCAGTGGGGCTTTGGTGCTCACTGAGTCTGCCCCTTGAATGTGTCACTTGTGAATGTGTCGAGTTTTAATCTGGTATGGCCTGAAGCTGTCTACCGGGTGCACTGGCTCTGGGGCCTCCTAGTAGGTACAAAGTAAGTCACTGCCTGAGGTCACCCAGCAGGAGCTACAGAATGATCTGCAGATGGCTGCTACTTGTGTTGGGCTTAGAAGTTCCCAGGGGAGGCCAAACTGTGAAACAAGGCAGGCTGGTGCTAGTGTCTGGTCTTAGGCCTCTCATTTTTTTTGTTGTTGTTAATACTCACTGATGATATTTTTCCATTGATTTTCAGGGAGAGTGGAAGAGGGAGAGAAAGACAGAGAGAAACATTGATGTGAGAGAGACATAGCGATTGGCTGCCTCCTGCATGTGGCCTGACCAGGGCCTGGGCCAGGAAGGAGTCTGCAACCAAGGTATGTGCCCTTGACCAGAATTGGACCAGGGACCTTTTGGTCCACAGGCTGAAGCTCTATCCACTGAGCCAAACCAGCTAGGCATCTTATTGATAGGTATGGGGCATGCCAACATTAGCTATTGCTTGTTTGAGAGATTTTAGAAAGCTTGAGCCAGGACAGGCTATTCATATGGAAAAACCACTATAAACAGCTTGGGTGGAGCTACAAATTGGATGAGGTGGGGTCTCAGGGAATAACCAGGGTGAAGCAAACAGTCTGTGCCAGGCTGATGGAAACCCAGATATGGCTGCCAGTCAGCACTGCAATCAGGGAGATCCCAGCACAGAAACAATGATTCCTGCAAGCAACCCCATCTGGGAGAAAGCTGCCCCCAAGTTCCTGCTCCAATGTCAGACAATCCAGTTCCTGTTTGTACGTCCCTGGTACTCCCAAAGTTGTCACCCAGCACTGGAGCCCAGAAGGAGCCAGCTGGTGTAAGTTTGTGCACCGGCCCTTTAAGAGGAGTTGCCTGGGTCTCCACCAGCCTCTGTGTTACTCAGCTACAGCCCCTGCTTGTTTTTACAGTCCAAAGTTATGGAGAGTTCTCTTCCCAGCTCTGGGACCCTAGGCCGGGGGTCTGGTGTGGGCCTGGGAGCCCTGGATTCTCGTAGGAGGCCTCCACAGCAGAGATAACACACCTGATTAAAAAAAACAAAACACACCACATGTGGGTGTCAGATCAGCTGGCTCTGTGCCTCTGCCCCTGCTACCAGTCTCAATGTACTTTCTTCTTTACTTCTCTGGTTGTAAGACTTCCATTCAGTCAGATTTCAGGCAGTTCTGAATGATGGTTGTTCTATATTTTAGTTGTAATTTTGATGTGGTAGTTGGAGATGGTGAGTATTGGAATTTACCTACACCACCATCTTGGTTCTACTTGTTAAGAGTGAATTTTCAAATGCCGACTCTAAGTTAACCTATATGTTAGGTGAACTAGTTCACATTTTTAAAACCTATGGCCATGTTATGGATGTACAGCCCTTTCTGTGTGTATGTGAGGAAGGAAGACAATGACATTTTTTTCTGTAACCTTCCCGTGCCTGATGCCAAATTTCCTATTGCTAATCCTTTATCCTGATTCCTCTCCTAGAGAATCTTGCTTAACTTCAAACTTCTGGGCAAAAATGTCGGCTGACAAAACACAAGGTTTAGATTTTTAAAGTGACACAGGAATTTTTGATCCTGTCTTCTAGTGAGCTCCAAGATTTTTATCACTTTGATTCATCATTGTGAGAATGAACTCATGATAGATTGAATTCCCTCAAACATATACAACTATATATATATGAAATGTTGCTATAGTTATTTTTTTATATTCTGCATATAGCTTTTGTACTGTAAGCTTATTCATTGCAATTCAATTTCTTTCTATTCCTTGAGGGCAGTGGTACTTTCCTGATTTTTTATTGTTTAAGATAATAATACATTTATTTTTGAAGACTGATTTGGAGATTAACATTTATAGAGCTGCATTCCCACATTATTCTCTCTCTTTTACTATAGTTCTGTATGTTTGCTTCTCTTTTCTAGGACCATCTTCCAACCTAAATCTTTGGAGCTATAGTTTTCCTTTTTCTGTTCCCCAAAATTCACTCTTAACAACTCTTTGCTAATAATTATGGAAATACAAGTCAAAACCACAAAGAGATACCACTTCACACACATTATAGTGGATATTTAACCCCCCCCCCCCCCCCACACACACACAGAAAATAAATGTTGAGGATGTGGAGAAATTTAGAGCCCTTGTGTATGGCTGCAGGGAATGTAAAATAGTGCAACTGCTGTGGAAAACAGCAGTTCCTCAAAAAGTTAAACATAGAATTACCATATAACCCAGCAATTCTACTTCTGGGTATACCCAAAAGATTTGAAAGTGGAGACTTGAATAGATATTTGTACACCAATGTTCATTGAGTAGCATTATTCACAATAGTCAAAAGTCAGAAGCAACCCAATTGTCCATCAATGGATGAGTGGGGAAATGAACTATGGTGTATATATCGTGGAGTATTATCCTATATAATAAAGAGGTAATATGCAAATTGACCATCACTCCAACACACAAGATGGCTGCCCCCATGTAGACACAAGATGGGAGCCAGCAGTCCTGGAATGTGAGAGGGATGTTTGACTGTCCGTTTAGGCCCGATCCCACCAAGATTGGGCCTAAACGGGCAGTCGGACATCCCTTGAGGGGTCCCAGATTGCAGAGGGTGCAGGCTGGGCTGAGGGGGCCCCCCTCTCATGCACGAATTTCATGCACCGGGCCTCTAGTTTATAATAATAGAAGCCTAATATGCAAATTAACTGAATGACCAAATAGCAGAACGACCTTCCAGACGACTTTCTGGACAGCCACACTATGACACCCACTGGTGCCAGGCCAGCCATGGCGGGTGCAATGCAATTGGTCAGGGGCCTGGCCATTGCCCCATGATTACCCTGCAGAGGGAGGCTCAGGTCACCAGCCAGCAGGGTGATCGATCAATTGGGGGTGCTCCACAATCACCCCAAAGAGGGAGGCCCAGGCCACTGACCAGTGGGCTGTAGCAGGTGGCCGGTGCCTCCCTCTGCAGGGTGGGATCGATTGTGGAATCCCGGCTGGGTGGGCTGGGTCTACCTCTTTGGGGTGATCGATTGTGGGGCTCCTGGACTGTGAGAGGGCACAGGCCGGGCTGAGGCCCCCCCGGCTTAATATGCAAATTAACTGAATGACCAAATAGCAGAACGACCTTCCAGACGACCTTCTGGACGCAGGAACGGAATTGGCCTGCACTAGATCTTGGACTCCCAGCCCCCCGAACGGCGAGGAAATAGCTTCCTGTTGTTGAAACCACCTACTCTTTGGCGTTTTCTTATGGCAGCCTGAGAGAAGACGTTTGGTACATGCTGGGGAGTGGTGAGAGTAAGGCTTGATTACCTGAGAAAGGGAACAAAACCCTGGAAAGCTTGAAACAGATGTGGGCTCTGTTGCTGCCTCACAGAGTCCATGAGCTGGGGTGAGCCCCCCAAAATTTTGAGGGCTTGCTGGTTCAGTGAGCTTGGAGACAAAGCTCTATTAAACACAGGCGCTGGTAACTGACTGAAAGTGTCCCTCACTTAATAGAAGGGACGGGTTTTTTCCTAAGCTGCTGTGCTTATGGTGACTTCTGGAAGATGCCTCTTTTGGGGGGGGGGGAGGGAGGGTCTGCTTATGCGGAGGGTCTTCCCTGCTCCACAAGCAGGAGGGCCCTATGTTTTTGGTAATGCCTGTAATATAAAAAGTATTGTGCCAGGTATTGGAAGGTCCTGAGATGAAAACCACATGAACTTCCTGCTCTCCAGAAACTTAAAAATAGCAATTCTCATCGTAGTTTTAAACTTGCACAATTAAAATATTTTATATTTATGGGATATATTTTACACTTATTAAAGTAATTATGCTCAAATTGCAAGCTTCTACATTTCCAGGAACTGGCAGCTATTGTGTTACTGGAAATT